GTAAAAAATCATAAAAATAACTATTTTAGAAATAAAGACATGAGTCCTCACACGAGTCTCGTATTAATTCCTCAAATCTCCAATTAGTTTGTATTGGCGCGTCTTTCGGAAAACTATCAACGCGCGTGCGATAAAGCAAAAATTTGAACTCACTCACCTCTAATCCCTTAATTGACCTTTCTTAGTTTACTACTGAACATTCTTAATTTTTCAAGATTATTGCACTCTTGAATCAAAATTTACCTCGAAAAACGTGTATTCGTATTTCTTACTAGACAAGGCACAGAAAAATTAAATTTGCTAACGGAACGTTTTTAAAATATAATTAAGGCGTTGTTCCATGTAAATGGATGTAAAATGGTTGAAATAAATTATTCGGAGAAAACAGGTGAATAAATAATTAAATAAGCCAGTAAAGTAAGATAAAAATAAGAAAATTTTTGGCTCCTCACAACCTACACGTGATTTTTTGCAAGTATGCGCATCGTGAGCGAATATAGGGTGTTAAGAGTTGAATTTACAAGAAAAACGGTCAACTATTGATACTATTGAAGTTTCCCTATTATTTAGACTCAAATTAAGAAAAAATAATTTAGGCTACAAACGGGTAGAAAATGCAAATGAAAGCTTCCTGGGCATTGGAATCCCTATTTGATCATACTAATACAACTCCCCAACTAAATGAGTACCAAAACTTTGGCCAAATTATGGCATAATTTTCTAATATTCATGATGTTCACTTTTACTAGTATATCAACTATACCTATAGCTAATCCACCTACTTTCACAGTTACAAGATCAACTACAAGCTCATTCATTTTTATGAAATTACATGGAACAAAGCCACAGAAGTGCACCTTTTCTTCTATGAGTATATACCTTAAACTTAGGTTTAACGCTTCCATAAATTAGTATAAAATTTCAATTCTCATTACAAATCTAATACTTTAAGATGATCATAATCAATAGGCAGTTAATCATGATTATAAGAACAAAAGTATTAAATAACTCAATCAAGAAAATAGCATCAATTACTCAAGTAATTAACACATAGCACTCATGGATAATTTAGCCAAAACCCAAGGCAAAAACTTTAAAGTAACATTACAAACATAAGATCCAATTCTTACATTAACAAAATTTAGAAGTCAATACAAAGATCAAGAGATGGAAAAAAGAAAACCCTGATCGCTAGAGCCTTTTGAGCCTCTCCTTCTTCATCTCTTCTAGCCTCCTTGTTGAACCAATACTAGAATGGATGAATACAAACTAGATGACACTACACTATCCCACCCTAAAAAAAGAAGAAATAAATAGAGCTACATTTGATGAGAACTTGCGTCTTGCCTCCAAGGACAAGACACAACCCTTTGGTTGCTCTTCTTTGCTCCAAACTCCCTCATTTCTCTCAAGCTAACTAAAACTAATGCTTCTCAAAATTGGAAGAACTAAGTACAATATATTCCTGGTCTTGTTTTTTGGAGCCAAAGGGTCAAAAATAGAAGTTCCTAGAACCCCTCAATACAGCTGCATTTCATCCCTTTATATCCCATAAATAATAGAGAAGAAACAAAAAGTCAAGCAAGTTGGCAAGGATTTCTCAGAAATTGTGGGAGGTTTGTGTAGAATCTCTCGAGTGATTGATGTTTGGCAATGTTTCTTAGTTATTTCGCTAGATTGATGTTTGGCAATATTTAGCTATGTTGGGTTCAATGATCACTACCCATCTTTGTCACTCCGCAAGCAAAACACAAACTAGAATATGACGGTTCATATGATGGGTCTTAAGCCGGACACCCATCTTGGCTTGACTCAATTTTATTCACAAATATTAGCCATCGTATTTTGCTCTATTACATATATTACATTATCCAATTTAGTATTTAACGCTCTAATACTATCATCAAAAGGTATACCTGTGGTAGTTCCTTTCTTTCTAATAAGTATGTATTTTACATGTTTTAAGTGTGTTTTATTAGTCAATTTTGGTGTGTTTTATTTAGTTTTATAGCTAATTAGCTAGGATTCTAGTAAAAATATATATTTTGTGGTTTAAGTGGTAAAAATTGCATTTCTATGGATTTTAATGGTGAAAACTTCATGTTTTTGTAAGTGTAATGATTCAATCATCAATTGGAATAATTTGAGAAGATAATTGGATGATTATTGATGATTTGAAGGAATTTAAAGAAGACATGAAATACAAAATGTTTAAAGGATGAAATGCAAGTTTTACAACTTTGACACCTTGTGGTATTTTGGTTATATCTTGAGTTACAAGTTTTGGATTGAGATGATTCTTACACATTTGAAGCTAAGAGATATTCTACATTTCGTATGAAGACATCGAAGTCCAGTTCATTCATTTTCCTTGTCAAAATACAGAAGTGCATTTTCATTGTCGAAAGCTGAAACATGGTTTTGACTATTCGAGAATATTTTGGTCATTTATCGGTCTACAGAGCTTCAAATTGGATGATTCTTGATGCATTGGAAAGCTAATTCAAAGAATTACAACTTTCCTATTTTACACAAGAGATGCTTCAGCCTCCATCATGAAGAAAATATCATAAAATTTTAGTGCAAAAACAAAGCAATGATGAAATTTGTCCAGAATGAGCAAACCTGCAAAGAGTAATACGTGGGTACAATATGCGACCCTAGGTTGCGTTTTCGAGGCGCGTATTCATCATTTTGAGCTGCAACTTTTGTTCTGTTCACACAGCTTTCCAGCTCAATTCCAACAAGTAATTTCGGCTGTATCAGGTCAAAAAGAGTGTGGAATCTTGGGGAAACAACTTTTGGGAGTTTCAAGAGTCAAAATGCCAACTAGAACAACTCATTTGACTCTTGAATTCTCTATAAATATAGGCTTTTGGAAAACATTTTCACAATTTCGGAAGGTTAGAGAAACTCCACAAAAATGTAGTCTTCACTAGTTTTCTTAGTTTTTTAGTATAGTGTAATTATAATAGTTCATCCTTCTTGTATTTGTAGTTAGATTTAGATGAAGATTTGAAGAGTAAAGATGGAGAGTTGGATCTTATGTGACAAGAGTGACTTCTCTCCTAGCACTTTTATTTTGTATTTGAATTCATGTTTAGCTATAATACAAGTTTGGATCTTGTTCTTCATGTTTAGCTAAAGTTTATACCTAGAGTTATGGATGAACTTTCTATAACTTGTTAGTGATGTTTACTTGGTTATTTGATGATATTATTTTGAGCAAGTTATTTATCACTTTTGCTTATCTAATCATGATTAATTGGCCGTTAATTGTGATAATATTAAGGTGTTAAGTTTGCAATGAAAATTGAAATTTAACACTAGTTCAAAGAGGTGATAAACCTAGGGAGTACACTCATGAGAATAGAGGTGCACCTATGTGGCTTTAGTGATTTGTTTTATGTAATTTCATAGATGGAATGAGCTTGTAGTTAATTTCATACCCACGATAGTAGATATGGCATAACTACAAGTATAGTTGGTTCACTACGAGTAGATTTAACATATGTTAGGAAATTACGCCATAACTAACCAAGATAATAACATTCAATTAACCGGTAATTTTATTTGCAAGAGTAGTATGGAATTACATAGCTCTAGAAGCTTTTATTGTTATTTATGTTACTTTTATCTCATGTTTATAGTGTAGATTTAATTTCTTACACTTGTGGTAGTCTAAATAATAAAGAAAGTTGAATATCATCGGTAATTGACAATCTTCTCTGTGGGTTTGACCTTTAATACCCTATATTCAATTTCTCGTATGCTTGTGAAAAATCATGTGTGGGGTATTTAGGATGTTATAAATATATACTTTGATTGTGGATGAGTTAATTATTATATGTATACCCCACGCTCATCAAGTTTTGGCGCCGTTGTTGGGAAGATTTGCACAATTTCAGTGCTAAGAACTACATTATTAGTTTAGACATTTTTACTTATTTTTCTTGTTTTTGTCGTGTCTAGTCTCTTAATTGTTGTGTTTAGTGTCTTGTTTAGTCATTTGTTTTGTGTTTAGTGTCTTGTTTTTTCAATTTTTTTTAGTTATGTTTAAACACTTATTGCTATCAAATTGATTTAAAGAAAATATGACAATGAATATTAAAAAAAGAACTTTATTGTATTATCATGTGCAATGAAAAAGAAAAAATGATGCAAATTCTATGAAAAAAATTTCTTACTGTTGATTAGATTATATTGATCTTAAATTTGATTTAGTCATGGGGTATAGACTTACTAATAAAATGGGACAATGGGTTGTTAGGTTAGAATTAGAATTGTTGGCATTTGGTGTTGACTATTGATATTAAACTCTAAATTGACTTAATATGTTTAGATAGCAAATGTTTTTTAAGACGGTTTGAGTGAGTCATAAACTAGCGATTCGGGTTCCAGTTCAAAATTTTGGTGAATCTAAACCTGAACCTTTAGTCATGGTTATGATTCTGATTTTGATTTCTAAAATCTAGTTCTAGTTCAACAGACTGTCGAATCGGTCACGGCTCAAGTCCTACCTACAATTTTTAATAAAAATATAAAAAATACATTGAATAGGGTATTAATGATGGAGCTGATTGTTCATGGCAAATGGCAGAGGCTGCAGGTAGTAGGGCAGCAAGGAAGTTTTTCTTTTGTAGTACGGCAGCAAGAAAGTTTTTCTTTTTGAAAAAATTATACTGCTTTTAGGTGTTTTGGATAAATACCAAGATTTTTCTTAAAAAAAATACAATAAATTATAGTAATTTTTTGGGTAAAATACAAAAAACCCCCTTGTGGCTTTGCGAAAAGACACCTTACCCCCCTATCGTTTAGAAACCTGCACATAAACACTCTAAACTTCATAACTAAAGTGGAAATTACCTTCTGAACAGGCTGAGTTACTGGCAGCAGGTCGAATACCCACAATACCCTCATTTATAATAGAGAGGGAAAGAGAATCAAGAACTGACTCTCTCTCTCATTCTCTACACTACTCCTCCTCAATGAGTTAATGATTAATTTTTCTTGTCTCCTAAATCCGGCCATTTGTCATCCATGGAAGAGAAGATGAGGTCTATGCTAGTGCTACTACTGCTACCGGAGTTAAACATGACGTCCGCCATATCTACGACGGGGTAGTCAACATCCCTCCCATAGCGGGAGGTGGATGGACCGGCTATTGCGCCACCACTCGTACTGCTACCCATGTTGACGGTGCTACTAGTGGACCCTACTACGCCTCCACCGGCAACAGCAAGGCCAAAGTCACTAATGGTTAGCCATTGGCTCATGGACAAGGCGATGGAGGTGGTTGGATTCGGAAGAGGATGGATGGCAGCTGTCGTGGCTTATTGCATCATACTATGAGCTTCTCTTCGTTCCACCGGCAGCGGTGGCAGTACAGATAGGGTCGTGGATGATAGATGGCAAGTGTGGTCGCCTCGGTTTGTTACTTCGAATATGTTTGGATCGTCATCCAGTCGCTGGACTTGTTTCTTGGTTGGACATTGGTACAGCTTTTGGTGGGTGCACCTCAAATAACTCTTGGAAATGACACAATCCAAAAGTTTTACAAATTCAATTGTGTTGACTAGTTGAGCACCTCCTATTTTCATCTTTCTTTGTGTCTTAATAAGGTATTATGGTGCGTGCTAATTTCATCATCAACTCAGTCACTTATGCTCTAACGGCGTCGTTTGGGGTCTGTAGCTCAAAAACCTCAGCTTACCGGACAGATTGACGTGAATGCGCTGGTTCCCTTGCGTTCCTTACGCACCATCAGTTTGATGAACAACAGCTTTGAGGGTTCGATGCCTGAATGGAAGAAACTCGGCGCTCTCAAGTCGCTCTTCTTGTCCAACAACCATTTCTCTGGACAGATCCCCCCGGATGCTTTCAAGGGCATGGCTTCTTTGAAGAAAGTTTATCTGGCAAATAACAGGTTTACGGGCAATATTCCTGTAACGCTAGCCACCCCTAGGCTTTTAGAACTGAGGCTGGAGAACAACCAATTTACAGGGCCCATTCCAGATCTCAAGCCAAGTCTCAAGGTGCTTAACGTGTCAAACAATCAACTCCAGGGTCCGATACCATCTAGTCTAGCCAAAATGGATCCAAGCTTCATCGCATGTACTATCTATCCATGTTGCTGTGTACATATGCATAGCGTGCGTGCGTGCATTTCCTAGAGCACTGGTACAAATTTTGCAGTTGTATATACGAAAATTAAGACGGAAATATTGGATTTAATTGTGCAGGAAACAAGGGTGTGTGTGGACCACCTCTAGTGATATCATGCAATTCTCCCGATCCTCTGGGTTTCACATCTGGTTATAGGTCAATTTCCAATTTAATTATAAAGTTTATGGTGTTTATGTGCAGGTTTCTAAACGATATGGGGTAAGGTATCTTTTCGCGAAACCACAAGGGGGTTCCTTGTATTTTACCCTAATTTTTTAAACAAACACGTTAAAAAATACCATCCAAGTGGACCCTAAAAATTTTAGGGGGCAGGGTTAAGTGATTCCAATTGCAAGAATAGAAGGACAAATGGGGTGTTTGATAACCCCATTAAGTGCTTAAAATTAATGTATTAAGAGCTTTTCTAATTTTGACCCTAGTAATTGGGGATAGAAAAGGCGTGAGGGGGAAGGGATTGGGAGCGTTAAAAAATAAATTTTAATATATTTTTTAAAAAGTTCTTTTCTATTAACATTGCTTGATGACATAATTTGCTTACACTTTAATATATTTAGACCCACTTAACTTTTAAGCAAAATTTTAAGTAAAAGTTGTATCGTGTAATTGGTTGAATTGTTGAACTAGTATAATATATTCACTCAAAAAAATTATCTCACACACACTTTCACACATATGTATACATATTTTCTCACACACACACACTGTCTCTCTCTTTATCACACACACATAGTTCCAAACACTTTTACACATACACGGATACACATGCACACACACTCTCTCTTACACACACTTGTACTTCAAATATACACACAAACACATACACAATTTCTCTCTCACACATGTAAAAACACATACTCTCTCTCCTGTAAGTATTCTATTCTATAACATGCACTTTTAAACATACTCACCTGATCAAACTCCTGTCAAACACACACACAGTCTCTCTCTCATAAGTGTAAACACACATACTCTCTCTCTTACAAGTATTTTCTTCTATAACATGCACTTTTAAACTGCTTCAAATCTTCTATCCCTAAATTAGTTTTTGTCCCCTCTGTCCCTTCTTTATATAGATACCACATTGCCTCTAGCTTTTTGATAACCCAAACTCAAAAAAATCGATAATAATCGGTTGACAAGTTTACTCAAAACCAATTAAAACAGATAACTCAAACTTTTTTTAAATTTTCTTTCTTAACAAAAAAGTCTTGTTGGTCACAAACATAGTAATCAACTAAAAATCTTCTTTATTTTTTGCCCCAAATCATCTTTTTCTTAAACCCTAACAAGTACTTTGATTCACTCATTATATCTTTAATCTTGCAACAAAAACGCCAAAGGAGCAATTGTGATGATATTGACTGTCATCCGTAAATTCCAATTCACTACAAGGTGGGAACTTGTGATAAGTGCATATTTTTATGTGTTTTTAGTGTGTTCTATTACTTAGTTTCTGTGTGTTTTATTTACTTTTATAGCTAATTAACTAGGTTTCCAGTGAAAATATACATTTTGTAGTTTAAGTATCAAATATTGTATTTCTATGGATTTTAATGGTGAAAATTTCATGTTTTTGTAGGCTTAATAATTCAATCATCAAATGGAGTGAGTTGCAAAGATATTTGGACAATTGTTGATGATTTGAAGTGGTTTTAAAGATAATATGAAATGCAAGAGATGAAATGCAATTAAGGGAGTTTTTCAGCTTTGACACTAGTTAGTATTTTGGCTATATCTTGAGTTTCAAGTATCGGATTGAGATTATTCTTGTGCCATTTTAAAGCTAATAATAGCTCTATATTTGTTATGAAGACCTCGAAGTCTAGTTTATGCATTTTCCTAGTCAAAATGTCAAAATACAGAAGTGTAATTTTGTTGTCAAAAGTTAAAATAGAGTTTTGACCAATCAAGCGTATTTTGGTCATTCCTCGGTTCATAGAACTCCAAATTGAATGATTCTTGATGCATTCATAAGTTAACTCAAAGAGCTATAATTTCATGTTTTGTACAAGAGTTAGTTCAATATCCATCATCGAGAAAATATTAGTTGAAGTTGGTGTAAAATAGAATAAGGATGAAGACTGACCAAAAATGAGCAAACCCGTAAAAAGACAAAATGTGGGGTCAATATGTAACCTCAGGTCACGTTTTCTAGGTCACGTATTCTTCAATTTTGGCTACAACTTACTTTGCAGCTTGTGCTCTATTCATACAAGCTTTTTGACCACTTTTTCTGCAAGAATTCTGGTTGGAAATGAGCAAGCAAGTATAGAATCTTATAGAAAAACTTTTGGAAGTTTCAAGAGATAACAAATGCCAACTAGAAACAACTTATTTGGACCTTGAATTCTCTATAAATAGAGGCATTGGAAAACATTTTCACAACTTTGGAAGGTTAGAGAAACTCCATAAAAATATTGTCTTTACTAGTTTTTCTTAGTTCATTAACAAAGTATAGTTAAAGTAGTTTATCCTTCTTGTGTTTGTAGCTAGATTTGGATGAAGATTGAGGAGCAAAGATGGAGAGTTAGATCTCATGTAACAAGGGTGAATTCTCTCCTATCACTTTCTCTTTTGTATTTGAGTTTATATTTAGTTATAATACAAGTTTGGTGTTTGTTTTCATGTTTTGCTAAAGTTTATGCCTAGAGTTATGGATGAACTTTGTGAGAACCCAAAATTTACTTAATTAAAACTTCTATTACTTTCTTATTTAAATAATTATCCACCCATTTTCTTCAAATAATTTATTTCAACCCCTTTTGGAACCATTTACATGGAACTATGACTTGCGTATATTTTTAAAATGTCCCGTTAATAAATTTAAATTTTAGAAACTCGTTTAGCTAGATTTAGTGAAATCGCGTTTGGAGGCAATAGTCGATTTGAAAGTACAGTGACCTTGGAGATTGGAGGACTCATGCGTTAGTCTTAAAATAGGTATTTTTATGATTAATTACTCAAGTATTAGTTAGTTATACTATTGTTGCAAGAATTTCTTAGAAATTTCGCTTTATCGCGCGCGAGTCGGAAGTTCGCGTTTTCGCACGCGTGACTAATTGAGGAACTTTGGACATTTATTTTTAGACTACTAAGAGTGAATAATAATAGTGATAAATGAAGTGCATTAGAGGTTTAGTGCACAAGTGAAACAAACCCGAGAGGAAACGGGCATGAAACGCGAGCGTACGCGCACTATTGAGAGTTGACTTTTGTGCACATTAAAGCCACACCTACCAAGCTTCTCCAAGAAGCTTTACCAGCTGCTACACTCTCTCTCTCTTTTCTCTCATTGTGGCCAAGACTAGCTAAGGAAGAAGAAGGAAAAATTTCATCTCATTTCACTCCAAAATTTTGCACCATTTCACTCCAAATTTATCACTCAAACTCACAACAACTTGGAGCTTCACTTGGACTAGGAAGAGAGCAACTTATCCACGGTTTCTTGGAGCTCAAAGTGACCGAAAATTTCTGAGTTTCATCAACCAAGAGGTAGTAAATGATCCAACCTTTGAAACTTGATTCTAGTGAGTTAGATTTCACTTGGAAGCTTGTAGCTTCATGTGGGTATCTTTATTTTGTTGGAAATCATTTGAGTGAGCTCTATGAAATCCCACAATGAACATGTTGGACTAATATGATGATTTTGGATGTTGTTTATGCAAATTAAGTGTTAAACTAGTGGATATAAGTTGAAAAAGTGGAAAGAAAATAAAGGAAAGTTGAAAGCTAAGAAGGGCCGATTCTGCCCTGTTTTTGCAGAGCACTTGGTGCGATTTTTTTGTGATAAAATTGCCTTAATTTTGATATAGATATGTTGTATAGGTTGTGTGGAAAGTTTTCACCAAAAATCACTTGATTTGGTTAGGTAAAAGTTGCATTTTCAAAAATCCTTCAAAGTTGGAAACGGGTAACAGGGGTTACCTGGCAGCGAACCTTGAATGATCATAACTCCTTGCTCCGATGTCAAAATTGAGTGCCGTTTCTGGCATTTGAAACTAAACACTTCCAGTTTTCTAACGGTATAAAATGCATCCTATGATTTGACTTGAGTGAGCCGTACCAGTTCTTCAAATTTACCTATCCTGTTTCACTCCTGTGCTAGAGAGTCAATGATGTGTTGGGATTTGTTGCTTAAATTTGAGCTAGCTATGGACTTAATTTCAAAATAGTTTCTTCTGATGAATTGTAGCTCTATGAATTTAGTTTCCAACGCCATCAACCATACTTAATTCCAAGTTGAATTGAGTGAGTTGTGGCTAAATTACAGAACTGCATCAGTGATAAAAAATCCTAATTTTGGTTAGCCTCGACTTGGGACTTGTTATTTTGAAACTTTTGGTGTCAATCACCTACCAAATGTATGTTGGATATTTTTTAGACCTTTTCTTCATAAATGAACCATGTTTGAGAT